GTGTTCTGAGGTCAGCCTCCCTCCCAAGGGGGGCTGACTCCAACACGCCCAGTTCCTTCTTCCCCAATAGTTACCAAATACACTCCTTTCCTCTGGCGGAGTGGATTAAAGGGGGTGGGAAGAAAAAGTGGATTCCAAATGGGGTCCAGTCACGTGGAAGGAAGGTTAAGGACGGGGCACAGCATTCCTGTGCAGCGTAGGCACAGTTGGCCCCGGCCCTCCCCGGGATCTGGCTGCCCACCTGTGGAGGGCGTCCAAACCTGGGGCTAGGGGAGTGGAGCTTGTGCTTGCCGCCTTCCGGGGCTCATAACCCGCCCTGCTCGGTAAACTGCCACTCCCACCTGCCTCCTGGACAGCTGCCTCCTGAAGCTCTTTCCCGAAGCATTTCTCCATAGCAGAACTCCCTCTTGAACTCCAAACCTTTATTTCGAGCTGCCTGGCAGATGTCTCTCCTCGGAAATTCTGCAGGCATCCAAAAGTCACCGTTCCCCAGGCGGAACCTGTGCGTTGGGTGCCCTTCTCACACGGAGTCTCGGCCGCATTGCCGCCTCTGTTCTGATAAGTCCCGACCTCTCCCAGCTCCGGTGAACACAGCCTGGGCGGCAAGCGCTGTGCTGCAGCTGTGTGCCTGTCTCTCCTCTGCCCACGAGCACTGGAGGCCTCTCTGTCTTCCTTCCTGCAGCGGCCAGGCCGTCGCGTGCCAGGTGATAGGCACTGGTGGATGATGTTTGCTGAACAGGAGCCCTCAGGCAGGCGAACCTTGGTCAGGCCTCCCAGGCAAGGGGATTTCTGTTTAGGGACCGAGGTTCTCCTTCGGCAGGCAATCACAGTTCCCTGTGACCACCAAAGAAACACAGACCATTCCTGGCACTTCTGAGCATTTCTTGCAACTCTGAATTATGGTATAATTAACACTCAGTGAGGTGACTTCACTGCTGCAATCGAAAGGGACAGATAGTTATAGTTGCAATTAAACTCGACCCCACCAGGTGCCGCTGTTGTTGCTGCCAAACAGAGATGCCCACAGCTTCCTCGTCCGTGCTTTCTGCCTGGAGCCCTTTAAGACCCTCTTACTTTTGACCTCCTTGCCCCACTCCCTACCACTCATTGCAGTCTCTAATCAGGGTCTGGTTTAACCTCTAAATGGCAAGTCTCGGGAAAAGCAAGGAAATTCTCCATCTTACTCTGGCCCAAATCCCTTTTGCTGTGTAAGTAGATTTTGTTCTAGCCACACGGAGAGCAGATGCTCATCCTCACTGAGTCTGAAACCCTTCACTTAAGATCATATTGATTTCTCGTGTTTCGTTTATAGAAACAGGCGGAATGAGCCCTCACCCTCTCTTCCTAGGCTTCCTTTCCAAGCTCCTAGCCACCTCTCGCAGTGCTCCTTCCTGGAACTTCCTCCTGGGCCTACCCACAGTCCCCTTTTATGGAGACCACAGCTATGGACGGGCCTGGCTGTTGCTGAACCAGAAGACTCCAGATAAGGCCAGGAAGCCTGGGGCCTGCGCTGGCCCCGGACGAGTTGGCCCCGAAACTTTTTCTCATTCGGGACTTTTGTGCCTGCAGTGGCCGGCCAGCTACAGGTGTTTCAAAGATCCAGTAAAATAAGGGAAATGAAAATGTTTCAGAAGAGTGCTGGCAGGATGATGGGATATAAGTGACTTTTTTTTTTTTCATAATATGAGTCATGCTTTTTTTTTTTTTTGAGATACAGTTTCGCTCTCCAGTTGCCCAGGTTGGAGTGCAATGGCATGATCTCGGCTCACTGCAACCTCTGCCTCCTGGGTTCAAGCAGTTCTGCCTCAGCCTCCCAAGTAGCTGGGATTATAGGTGTGTGCCACCACACCCGGCTAATTTTTTTTTGTATTTTTAGTAGAGGGTTTCACCATTTTGTCCAGGCTGGTCTTGAACTTCTGATCTCAAGTGATCCACCCGCCTCAGCCTCCCAAAGTGCTGGGCTTACAGTTGTGAGCCACTGCGGCTGGCCTATTGTTTTTTCAATATAATAAAACATAAAAATATTTAAGAGGGTGACAGTTAATCCAAGAGCAGAGCTCCACTGCCCACTTATGTAACCACATTCTACAGGTCTCCCCAGTCCCCCATCATGCAGGAAACCGATTCGCTAGCGTTCTTGTCTCTAGTGGTTTTGTTTTAACTGTGGTCTCTTTTCTATTCCTTTTCTTGATCATCCCATTAATGCTGTCCTGAGAGTCGTCCTCCTGAGGGGAATCACCCATAAAAATAAAGGATTCACTCACGAGAGGGACAAATGCTTACCCAGGGAGCCCCTGCTTGGTGCCAGGCCCTGGGGTGATCCCTTTTTCATGCCGATGCCCTGATTCCTCACACTCCTGGGAAAGGGTCCCTTGGCCCATTTTGTACACAAGAAAACTGGCTCTAATAGGAGCAATGGAAGTGGCCCAGGGTTAGTGAAGCAGGAGCTGACCTCTGAGCCCGGTTCTGCCAGACTCCAGGACCCTTCAAGGCACTGGCAAGTGTGGTCTGCCCTGGACAAGCACAGTTCAGCAACAGCCTCGTCCTGGGATGCCTCAAAACTCACTGTGCCAGCTACACGGAGGGCCTTTTCGTCACGCACTTTGTCATCAAATAAACCCAGAGGCCAGAGATCTTTACATGTCATCCTGAACGATGCTGATTTTAAATGTTTATTCTGCAGCTTGAGATCTCTACTGATTAAGGATTCAGCTTCTTTAAAGAAGGCGAGGTGGAGAGGGCTTATTTAAAAAAATTATCTTGTTGAAAATGAATCTGTTGTGTCTAGATATTTGCTCTAAAGTTCATTCCTGGCCGGGAGTGGTCACTCACACCTGTAATCCCAAATATCTTTGGGAGGCTGAGGCGGGTGGATCATGAGGTCAGGAGTTCAAGACCAGCCTGACCAAGATGGTGAAACCCCGTCTCTACTAAAAATACTAACACTGAGTGAGACCTTGTTTCCACTAAAATTAAAAAAAACATAGTGAGACTTTGTTTCTACTAAATAAAAAAAAAAAAAATAGCCAGGTGCTGTGGCAGGCACCTGTAGTCCCAGCTACTCAGGAGGCTGAGGCAGGAGAATTGCTTGAACCCTGGTGGCAGAGGTTGCAGTGAGCTGAGATCGTGCCATTGCACTCCAGCCTGGGCGACAGAGTGAGACTCCATCTCAACAAACAGACAGCAAAAAAAAAAAAAAAAAGCCAGGTGTGGTGGTGGGTGCCTGTAGTCCCAGCTACTCGGGAGGCTGAAGCACAAGAATCACTTGAGCATGGGAGATTGAGGTTGCAGTGAGCTGAGATCGCGCCATTGTACTCCAGCTTGGGTTACAGAGACTGTCTAAAAAAAAAAAGTTCATTCCCTTTGGAAAAGCAGTAATGAAGTTAAAAAAGACCATTGTCTTCGGAACTCAAGCTCCTCTGACAGCATCCAGACTTTGCCCCCTCAGAGAAGCCCAGACAGCAGGAAAGAGAGGAGTCTCTAGGCCTTCCCACGGTTCTCTCAGGTGGAGTAAAGGGATCCCATGAAAAGAATCGCAGTGAGCAGCAGGCCGGCAGGCCGGGGTTCCATCTGTCTGAGGACTCTGCATTATCAGAGGAAGAGGCCGGTGAACTCAGGAAAGATTCTCTGGGTAGAACTGTGGGCTGGTGGCCCAAGACAGGGAGCCTCTGCCAGTGTCCCCTCCGGCTTGGAGATGGTCCATGCTTGGCCTCAGCTGACCAAACTCTCCCACCACCTCGCTTGGCTCCCTGGGCACTCTGCTTTCCTGCCCTTGGCTTGCAGCACCCCCAGCCACCCACAGGAGCCACCTTGCAGGAGGGGTCCCAGGTGGAGTGAATTCTCTCCCTTGTCGGGGATTGGCTGGCCAGGCGGCCCTGTGTGTCAGATCACAGCGAGGCTGGGCAGGGGCGAGGCTTCTCCCAGAACTGCCACTGAGGCGCCTGTGCTCAGTCACAAGAATGCTCAACGTGGCGAGTGTGGCCTGTTCCCCTCTCATCCCAAGATGCTGCCTCTGCCATCCTGCCTGTCCTGCCTGCCAGGCCGGGCTGGGGCTCCCAGGTGGCAGCCCTCCTCCCTGGACAGGGGTGGCTAACGTGTCTCTGCCTGAATCCTGCACTGTTTGGGCTGCACAAGGTTCACCTGCATTGTGTTGTGCTATTACTTACATAGATTTGGGAGGAAAATAGATCTTTTCTTGAAGTGGGGAAATGAAGGGCTTAAGGTGCCATTTTAAACACCAGAAAGGGCAGGGCTCTTAGTGGAGATGCATTTTTTTTTTTTTGAGATGGAGTCTTTGTCACCAGGCTAGAGTGCAGTGGCACAATCTCGGCTCACTGCAACCTCTGCCTCCGAGGTTCAAGCAAATTCCCCTGCCTCAGCCTCCCAAGTAGCTGGGACTACAGGTGCACGCTACCATGCCGTCTAATTTTTTTGTATTTTAGTAGAAATGGGGGTTTCACCATGTTGGTCAGGAAGGTCGCCATCTCCTGACCTCATGATCCACCAGCCTCAGCCTCACAAAGTGCTGGGATTACAGGCGTGAGCCACCACGCCCAGTCACAAGATGCATTTTTTATACCTGCCACTTTGCTTCATCTGTCGCCTTCACAGCTCCTAAGGGAGTTGGAGCTTGTGCCGCCACCGCTGCAGAGGATTAAGGGGTTTCCCTCTGCGGGCTCCAGAAGCTGCAAGCCAGGGTGTTTTTGGCTGCTTGAGCAAAGGATAAGACCTGCACTTCCCTGCTTGGTCCTCAGCCCTGAACGTGGCAACCGACTGCTCCATGAGCTGCTGACTGTGGGTTTCTGAGTGCGGGGCGGGGATGCCATGCCTCCCTTTCCTGCTCACCTGTGTTTTCTGTACAAACCCGTACAGTAGTCAAATAAGGGAAATGAACAAAGGGTATGTGAAAAAATACAAGGACCAAATTTTATAGCTTTGGTTTTTGTGGAAACTCTGAAAGAAAAATTGTCAATATTGAGGAAAAGGCTTCAGAGGCAAACTTCCGAGGGGCATTTTTTATTATAAATTTAATATGGTTGATTAATGAAAAATCACAATGAAGTACCAAGAAAATGTTTGTCAATATAAAAATTTTAGCAGCATTTCCATAGTTTCAGGCTCCAACATTAGTCGTACTTCCTCCCTCCCGCTATCAAAAGAGACTCCAATGGGATAGAGTAGAGCCTGGGGATGTCCAGCTTTGTGTGGGCCTCAGAGAAATACTCCATCCAGCGTCCACGATTTCCCCTCCCTCCCATCCCTGAACTGCTAGAATGTCAAAGCACAGAAAAAGCCTCCTTTGTGCTGACATTTGAGACAAGGATCCATTCTTCAGGCTGCCGGGAGAATTGGGATGAAAACTGACCCTGGACTTGACATGTAGTGCTCAGCCACACGCCCTCACCAACACCTGTGCATTCTCTACTCTGATGACAAGGAAAGGCCACTGCAGGGCGGGCGGGATCTGGGGTGTGGTGGCGGCGGTGGCACTGCTGGTGGGAGCCACGGCGTGGCGCATGCTGGGTGACGGTGTCACTGCCACACGCTGCTCCGGGGCAGGCATGATCAGTGAGGGTGGGAGACAGACAATGTGAAAATGTAACACTGGCCAACGATTCCCCTGCCTCTTTGGTACTTTCCAAAATTCTCTGATCAAAAAAGTATAAGGGAAGCACACCATTAAAAAATTACAGTTTTACGTATTTACAAAAGCAATGATGATATATTACACAAGAATCAATACACAATATATGAACAAATCTTCAGTGAAAGCACTTGTGAGCTCCCATCCCGCTGGCATCCCATGGCACGCGGCCTCTGCAGGGTCGTGTCGCCTGTCCTGAAGCTCATCACCTTATAGTATATTAGAAGGGAAAAACATCATTTGGAAAAAAATCATTTTCCAATCTACTCTTTCCTTTTAAAAGGCTTAACATTTGCCATCGAAATCGTTATGTACAAGATTTACTGAATATTGACTTCTAGGCAATGATTTCCACTTCCAACTTGAATATGTTTGAAATAACGCTGCCTATTCTATGGATACAATAGATATTTAATATATAAGTAACTGCACCACATTATATCACCAGGATACCAGTTTAATACATATTATTATGTACAGTAGTTAAGTTAGCTCGAGAAGGTGAGTCTCCGCAGCCCGGGTGAACGGTGTGGGATGGAGCCTCCTGGAAGGGAGGCAGAGAGCTGGTCATGAGAACCGTGCAAGGCCAGGATGTGTATGTGTGGCACGAGGGCACGTGTTTCCCACACGCCCACACCAGACCATCCCTTTAGCTGTTTGCAGCTGGAAGAAGACAAATCACACATATGGAAGGATGCCATACATGAGAAGAGCCATGACAGCAGCGCTGAACAGCCCAGCCACAGGGACGGTCACGAACCAGGCCACGAAGATGTTCCGAAAAAGGCGCCAGTCCACAGCCTTGCGGGAGCGGATCCAGCCCACGGCCACCACCGAGCCCACCTGTGGGAGTACAGACATTGCAAAGTAAAAACAGGTGAGCCACAAAGGCTATACTCAACCAAGGTACATGGGCTAATCTCAGAAACAAGCTCTACTACAACATTACCCAGTCCCCTACATTTGTTAAAGCTTGTAAAATAGCTTAGATTTTAGGTAGAATTGTTTGGGTATTCTTCTCTTCAGCATATAGCTCTTTATATAGTTTTTATATAGTTGTTTTGAGACAGAGTCTCATTCTGTCTCCCAGGCTGGAGTGCAGTGGCGTGATCTCAGCTTACTGCAACCTCCATCTTCCAGGTTCAAGCAATTCTCCTGCCTTAGCCTC